AAGTAAGTCAAGTTCTTATGATCTATCTTTATAATAACAGTGTGTTTCACTTCTTTAAGATAGACCCTCCACTGCTTAAACATTACTATTATAGCTAGCAATTCCTTATTATGAATATTATAGTTGAGTTCTGCTTGAATCAACTTTCTTGAGTAAAATATAATTAGTCTTAACTTTCTGTCTTCTTTAGGTTGTGTTATACACATGCCAACAGTGTAATTTAATACATTAGTTTTAATAGTTATTTCTTTCTCTAGATCATGCTGTATAAGTATTAATGATGTGATAAATTACTGCTTGATATCTTTAAACATACTCTGTTGTAGTTCTTTCCACTGGTACTTCTTTAACTTCTTTATAAGCTTGAAGAGTAGTATTATATGGATAGCATATCCGTCCATAAATTATTAATAGTAGTTAACTAATCTGATGAACTGCTGTAGTTCTTTCAGATTTCTCAGTTAAGGCTAATCCTGTATAGCTTGTACTTTAGCTCACTCAGTATAGATTCTTTTTATAGATATCTAATATCTCAGGAATTTTATTTCCTGTATATAGAATTTATACTTCTTCAGCTTATATTATAGTTAATATAGATATAATTTGTATAGAACTAGTCTTATATACTTTATATATTCTTCCTTAGTCTTTAAAAAGATTAATATATTGTCTAGATAAGTAATTATAAACCTGTCAAGATGTTTTTCTAGAACTTTATTAATATATTGCTAAAATAATACTGGTACATTGGTAAGCCTAAATAATATAATCAAGTACTTAAAATATCTATACTTTATTCTGAATATAGTTTTCTATTCTTTATTTTCTGTAATGCGTATATGATAATATATATTTATAATATTAAGTTTAATAAACTATTTTATTTCTTATATCTTGTCTTAGATTTCTGAAATCAAAGATAACGGGTGTTAATCCTTAATTATAATAATATTTAGTGACTGATAATCCACGCATAGCTGTAAATTGCTGTTTTTTTTTAGTTTAAATAAGACTCCATGTCCTGCTGGTGACTTTAAAGGCCTAATATTATCTTTAACTAGCTAATTATTAATATATTCTTATAGTGTTTATGATTTTTTTTTAGATATTAGATAAATTTTTCTACATACTAGTGACTTTTTTTTTCTATAGGAATAGTATGATTATGCTTTCTATGCTGAGGTAATTTAGATTATTCTAGCTACTTGAATAAGTCCTTGAATCTTTCATATTATGATAGGATCTGTATATCACTCTTGACCATAGCTAGAAGTTCCCATAAATCTTCTAATCTCTGGATAACTATCTTAATCTCTGTGTTAGTACTGTTAATGCTATATTTATAGTATTCTTTAATTATTGTTAATACTTATTTTGATAATTCCATAAGCCAATCTTTCTATGATGGCTTGGTTACTGCTATTACTTATGTGACTATACTTAAGATGTTATTTTCCTCTAAATTATCTCTAATATCTGGCGTGTTAGGCTTTTATAGTGATCTCAACCTCTTCTTACTAGATTACTTAATCCTTATTTCAGCCTCTTATTGAATAACAGGCTGTATAGATCTAGACCCCATATCTAGTCCTTGCTGGTGTTGTCTTGGGCAATTATAATTTATGAATTAGAGACTCTCAGTCTTTTAATTAATCTGTGAATTATGATTCTTGAGTTATAGAATCTCTAACACAATATTATACTGTTTTAAAGATATCATATTAAAGTTTATATACTTATAGTGACTCTTTATAATTATAAATATAGTTTCTAACTTAATTATTAACATGAGAGTTTCTAAATTCTCTTTATTTAGTTCTATAATTGGTTCAGATTCTGCTTTCTATTATCTAAGTATCTTAAGCTGTTACATGAATCATAGGTTCATAAAGTTTCTGGTTATTCCAGAGTCTATCAGTACTTAGACTAGTTAATTTAATATGACTGCTTAGATCTTTAAATATGGCTCTGACTTTGTGGCTACTAACTACTATTCTGGCTAGTTAGGTTCTAACTACTGTAAGTATCTTCTTGGAAATCTTAAACCTTTTATCTTTACTGTATAGTATATTATATACTAATTATTAAAACATGCTAGTTAATATATTAATCTGTGATAAGAATGTCTCTGGTACTCTTTACACGTGTAATTAAAGATAGAGTATAAATAGTGACTTACCTTAGCCTTAACTACTTCCAGTATCTTAGGTTAATAGTTAGTAATATATTTCTAATCATGGTATATTAAGTATATATTCATATAATATATAAGCTAAGAAAGTTTATCATATCTTTAATAATCTCTGCTTTCTTTAAAATAAATATACAGATATGGCTTATTATATTAAGACTCTGTTTCTATAATATTTATCTTCTAATTAATCTCTAATAGCTGGTAATAATAGTCTATATTATCTTGTCCATATATTAAATAAACTTCTGGATAATAAGAATATTTGTATAGATATTATTCCCAAGTCTTGTTCTATGATTTTCAATATTTTAAATCCTAATGTGGGTAATATTGTATGATTATCTTAAGTTTTAGATAGAATCATACTGGATTCTTCAAGATCTTCTTTAAAATATAGTCTAATTAATAAGTAATATTCTTTTAATCATTCTTCTAGTTCTTCTTATCCTTGTCTTACTATAATAAACAGAGTTTATCAATTTCTGATAAGGGTTTTTCAGAGGTATCAGATATCTTGTTAAGTCTTTTCTTACTAGGTTTAAAATCTTCAAATAGTCTACTGTATTCTTTATCTGATGATTTATCTTTATTCTAAACTATATTAAAATAATTATTTCTCAGAACTGGCTTATAATTATTATTATTGATTTCTATAGTCCAAGTTAATAATACAGATAATCATTAATCCTCTTATTAGCTGAATAATACTGTTAACTTATTCAGGGTGACCTGTTATCTTAATCAATTATAATACATTCTGTTCTCTGATAGCCGACCGTGCTGAATAATATATAGCTTCTTATTATCTAATATCTGCATTACAGATTCTATCTAAACTTTATGCTGAATAGTAGTAACATTATAGACTCCTCTATCTTGATCTTGGTTCATAGTGCTCAATTACTTCTGAGGCTGTTGCTGTTTCTGACTACAGTTCTTTAACTGGTGACCTGCTTTGTTACAGCTAAAGCACAAGCGGTCTCGTTTACGCTGTTCAAGTTCCTCCTTAGATACTTAAGTCTATTGAGTCTGATGCTGTGCTACATCCAGCTCCATGGGTTTCAGCCTATAAGGATCTTCGTATCCCAAGCTTCTAGGTTATGCCGACCTTCTGTTATTAGCTCGGTAATCTGGCTGGTTATTATATTAAGATATAGACCTACTAGTCTATTAATCTTCTTATTATTTTATATTGAAGTTATATAATTTATTATCAATCTTAACTGCTGCTTTAATCATCTTAATCAATGTATCTAGTCATTCTTGCTAAATGATCTTTTCTTAGATCTTTATCTTGAGTTCTTTTTTAAATTATGAGATATAGGTATTATCATTCTAGTCTAGATAATTAATAACTTACTGAAACTCTAAAATATATGTGGATACTGATCTAATCTGTTTAAATTACTATAATTTTTGCTTAGTGTTCTGTGCTGTATCAATGTCTCTGAATATCTGTTCAAGATATTGTTTAAATCTGGCATAACTAGTAAAAAGTTGTTTTATATTATTATTCTAATTACTTACTAACTTTTCTTGTCACTTGCGGATGTATGGTTCGAACTAATCAAATATTGCTCTAATCAGGTAAGTAGATATGAAAAAGATCTTGTCCTTCTTATTCTTGAGCTTTTCCTTGTTTATGTTGAGATATAGATCTAACTGGGTCAAGAAAGCCCTGAGCCTTGCTTGTTTACTGTCAAATAGCTCAGATAGTCAGACCTTAACAGATTTAACTGATAAGCGATCTTTGAGTAACTGGTTCTATTGTTTTAAGACAGTGATGCTTTCTTATAACTGACTAACCATATTTATTAATTCCTTGGTTGTCAGGCCCTGCTGTGGCGCACGCGATGTGTTCAATGTAGTTAATATGATGACTGGTTGTCACTGGGTAATACTCGTACTAACTGATACTCAATGTATCAAATCCTAGGATTGTTTCTCCCTGTTCCTGTTAGCTTAGCTCCCGTTCTAATACGTACCTGTGAACTGAATCAAGGTAATCAGGTTATTGACTATCTAAAGGTGACTTGATCTGAATAAGAGAAGAGAAGTAAGGCCAGATAGTGCCGCGCAGCTATCCGTAAGTAAGTGCGGATGAGTGTTGTCGCTAAGCTTTACTAAAACATATGATTACTTAAAGACAGTTAAATTGAGCATGAAGAACAGAACTAACTAAGTATATGAAGGAATGTCCTTATATATCCGTCCCTTGTATACCATTCCGTATACCATCAGGTCTATCATATACCCGTTTGGTAGTCATATACCATGATGGTATGTTGTATACCACATGCTTGTCTGTATACCATGGTCACGTGATCCGTGGCACCTGACGGTTCGGGTCAGGATCCTCCTTGATAAGAGCTCCCTTCCGTCCGGATGTGGCCTTCTGCCTGACATACCCGCCTTACTAGTTGTTCAGCTAGCAGGGGTCCGTAACATGGCTGACAAGATTCTTATGTTATAAGTTCATCTTTATAAGTTTTTATAAGGCTTCAGCCTTTATATATAATAGCATGATTCTTATTAAATATATGGCATTATTGATCATAAACAGATAATATTTAATCTTGCTATAGCCAGTCAGAATCATTACTTATATATCTGCATGCCAGAGTTCTGTGGGATCAGTGGTCTATGAGATAGGGTCTTGTAATATAAGATATTTAGCTTTAGCAAGCTAGCAGGCTTTGTAGTTGAAATTTTCATGATTTTGTAGTTATATGTTATAAGATTCTGTATGGCCAAATCTTTAATATAATAGTAGAGGATTGAGAGTAGGCACCGTTGCGGTGATTCTGTTTGGCTCAGTAAGTCTGATGAAGGTGATGTTCTTTGATATCTGTAGATAGCCTGCAGTTTGATCAGTATCTAGATCTTATAGAGTCAGGTCTTTAATAGTCCCGTAGAGATTGAAGTCAGTATAGAGGCGATCTGCTGAAAGGAGGCCATATTCCAAACTTGGTTGGTAGTATGCCTTGATCTTCAACGCTGTTGGTTTCCCGGTCGGGGATTCTAGGTAGACAGTAATATAGCTGGCTGATTTAGCCGTGGTGTTAGTCCCTTCTGAGGTGCTGTAGATGTAGTATTTATAAGATACAAGTTTATGGTATTCAGTCAAGGAATCGAGATCAGGGGTCAGGTGGTGGGAACTGCTTGTATCGTAGATCCAGGTGTTTGCTGGGTTGTCTCTAGCGGCCACTGCCATACTGCTAAAATCGATGATATCAGGATTCTGCATCTTATATACTGTGGTATTTATTTCGGGCCTTTTTAGTAGTTCTTTTGGCGGATTGTATGACCAGAGGCCTCTAGTAGGCTTCCAGTGTGGTAGTTAGAGGCTAGGATTCAAATAATAGCAGACTAGGGAATCGTGGCCACTTATATGGCAGTACGCGTATTTTCTATCAAGTCATTATGGTTGCTGATTTCTCATCTTTTCCACGTGGTCTTCGGGCGATATGCCTGGCCCAGGGAAGGTCTGTTTCTTCTAATAATCTGATTTGATGTTTCTAGATGCTGCGGATGCCTGTATGATCGGTGCAGAGGCAGCCAGGTGCTTTATATTAAGCTCATTTTCTATAGCTATGGCTTCATCACAGTATTTATAAAAGTCCGTGTTGGTCAGTGTATCTGGATTGGCTAGAGAAAGGGTTATTTATATGGGTGCAGTCCATGTTAGTAATTCTGTTTCTAAATTGCTCAGCAGTATGTAAGTTACTATAAAAGCAGATATCTTATATCTTATTCTCTGCACGGTAATAAAGATATTTATAAAGCTATTAATATACTATATAATTATTAAATAGTTATTTTGGTATTTGGAGATGAGTTTTATACAGATATTAATAATTTTAATTGATTCTTTATCTAAGATGATTTTATATATAGTTTTATAAGCATTATCTGCAAATTCTCTATCTTCTCTAGCTCTAATAAAATGTTTATTAATCTCTGATAATAGTTGCTTTAACAACCAAGCATAGATTATTGAGAATAGTCTATACCAGAGATTGTACGACGGATCGTCGATCTGTGGCCGGGGTAGATCCTTTTAAAAGAGTTAATATAGAGATAATAATTATAGACTTATTTCTATCTAGAAATATTATTATTCGAAGTTTTCATGACCTGTAAGGAGTTCTGTGACTCCTTGGAGTGATCCAGGCAGCTAGGATGGTAGGCTCTCTGCCTGTGTCCGCGGATCGGTGTTGATCACGGTGTTTAGAAAGTCTGAAGTATTGATACTACCCCCTGCGGCCAGCGCGGCCGAGGAAGTGCTTCGTGTTATAGGAGCCATCTTGATGTGTTTATTTGTTTGTTCGTTCATCCGAATGTAGCAGAAGCGTCAAAGTGGTGATATTATACGTGTAGGCGTGACCGTTGCCTCAGTGGAGGTCGGTAGACTGGCTTGTAGAAGCCCGGTAGGATGGTTCGCGTAGGCGTAACCGTTGCCTCGGTAGAGGTTAGTATAGGACAGAGGTCCTGGGAGTGCTTCGTATGAAGCAATTGGGCGATCCTTCTGGATGATATCGCTAGCCTAGGGGGTCCGGAGAGGGCTCATAACCTGTTGGAGTGGCTACTAAGGCGATTCAACCGTGTAGAATGAGATGGATGATGATCTAGCTAGGGGCCTCGTAGGCCATCTATAAGGACTAACTAGCGGTGTAGGGAGGAGTGTCACGTGACCCTACGTTGCCTACCGGCGTGGGAGCCCATCGGGGATCCCAACATATAATATACTACATGGTAAAAATAGAGGGAATATAATTTTCAAGTAAATATCTAAGATAATAGAAACCTAACTAGCCAGATCAATAATTAATAGCTACCGAATCAGGGCCACACCTGAAGATTCAAGTAACCATACTAGATTAAATAACTCAAGTACTAGTAGACTCTAGAGTGACTGGAAACTTCATGAACCCATGATTTATATAGTAACTTAGGATACTTAGAAGACAGAAAGCAGAATCTGAACCAATTACAGGACTGAACGGAGAGAATTTGAGAACTCTTGTATTGATAGTTAAGTTAGGGATCATATCTATAACTATAATAAGTTATCTTGAATACATAGATTTCGATGTGATACTACTAGGATAATATAATATTGTACTAAGGATTCCATGACTCAAGAATCATAACCCACAGATTAATTAAAAGACTGAGAGTCTCTAATTCACGAATTGTGATTGCCTAAGACGATATTAACAAGAACCAGATATGGGGTCTAGATCCGTACAGCCTGCTAAACAGTAAGAGACTGAAGTAAGGACTAAGCAATCTATAAAGAGGTTGAGAACACTATGAAAGCCTTACACGCTAGGTATCAGAGATAAATTAAAGAATAATAATATCTTAAGTATAGTCATACAAGTAATAGTAACAATCAAGTCATTGTAGAGAGATTGGCTCAAGAAATTATTAGAATAGGCACTAACAATAACAGAAGAGTACTGAGAGTACAGTATTAACAGCACTGACTCAGAAATCAGGATATAAGAGCAGGGACTAGAAGACTTATGGGAGCTTCTAGCTGTGACCAAGCATAAACCACATATCCCGCCACAGTATAAGAGATTCAAGGATTTATTTAATTAGCCAGAGCAGTCTGAATTACCTCAGCATGGAAAGCATGACCATATTATTCTTACTAAGAAAGAAAAGTCACTAATATACAGAAAGATTTATTTAATATCTGAAAAGGAATCGCAGGCACTATAGAAGTATATTAATAACTAATTAATAAAAGATAATGTAAGGCCTTCAAAATCGCCAGCAAGACATGGAGTCCTATTTATATTAAAGAAGGATAGCAGTTTATAGTTATATATAGATTATTAATTACTTAATATAATCATGATCAAGGATCAACACCCATTACCTTTAATCTTAGAAATCCAAGATAAAATATAAGAAATAAAATAGTTTACTAAACTTGATATTATAGATACATATTATCATATACACATTATGGAAGGTGAAGAATGGAAAACCGTATTTAAAATAAAGTATAGATACTTTAAGTATTTAATTATATTATTTAGACTTATCAATATACTAGCATCATTTCAGCAATATATTAATAAGATATTAGGAGAACACCTTGACAAATTTATAATCATTTATTTAGATAATATCTTAATCTTCTTAAAGATAGAAAAAGAATATGTTAAGTATATAAGACTTATTTTGTATAAACTACATCTATATTAGTTATAATATAAGCTGAAGAAATATAAATTCTATATATAGAAAACAGAGTTCCTGGAACACTGAATATCTACAGAGAGAGTCTATACCAAGTAAACTAAAGTATAAGTCATACAGGACTAGCCTTAACCCAAGAACCTGAAAGAACTACAGCAGTTTGTCAGATTAGTTAACTATTATTAATAATTTATAGACAGATATGCTATCCACATAACACCACTCTTCAAGCTTATTGTTACGGACCCCTGCTAGCTGAACGAACTAGTGAGGCGGACACGTCAGGCAGAAGGCCACACCCGGAAAAGAGCAAGGGCTCTTATCGAGTAAAGCCTCGATACGAGCAACCGAGGAACGGGAACGGTCACACGGCACGTGACTACAATAAGGATGTCACCGACACGCTATAGGATGTCAACAACATAATATGGCATGGCAGTGCCATATTGAAGGATAGGATATAAGGACACTCTTTCATATACTTAGCTAGTTCTGTTCTTCATGCTCAATAACATTATCTTTAAGTAATCATATATTTTGGTAAAAGCTTAGCAACAACACTCGTCCGTACTTACTTACGAATAGCTGTGTGGCATTATCTGGCCTTACTTCTCTTCTTCTATTCAGGACCAGTTTTCTTTGGATAGTTATTAACCTGACCTACCTTAATTCAGTTCACAGGTACATATCGGATAGAAGCTAAGCTAACAGGAACAGGGAGAAGCAATCCTAGGGTTTGATATATTAAGCACCAGTCAGTATAAGTATTATCTAGTAATAATTATTCATTATATTAACTACATTAAACTCATCACACGCCCTATAGCAGCAGGGCCTGACAATACAGAAACTGATGGATATGGTTGGTCAGTTATAAGAAAGCATCACAGTCTTAAAACAATAAAACCAGATACTTGAAGATTGCTTAGCAGTCAAATCTGTTAAGGTCTAACCACTTGAGCCATTCGACAGCAATTGAGCAAAGCTCAGGGCTTTCTTGACCCAGTTAGATCTGTACCTCAGCATAAACAAAGAGAAGCTTAAGAATAAGAAAGACAAGATCTTTTTTGTATCTACTTACTTAACTAAAATAGTATTCAATTAGTTTAAACTATATATCTATAATTAATAAAAGAAGTTAATAAGTAATCAGGATAATAACATGAAATAAATCTTTACTAGTTATACCAGATTCAAGCAGTGTCTTGAACAGATATTTAGAGATATTAATATAACATGGAATACTGAGTAAAAATTATAATGATTTAAGCAGACTAGATCAGTATTTAAGTATGCTTTAGAGTTTTTGCAAGTTACTAGTTACTTGGATTAGAATAATAATATCTATATCATATAATTTAAAGAAAGACTCAAGATAGAGATCTAAGAGAAACTTATCTAGTAAGAATAACTAAACATATTGTTAAAGATGATTGAAGCAGCAGTCAAGATTAATAACAAATTATATAAATACAATATAAAATAATAAGAGGGTCGATAGACCAGCGGGTCTATATCTTGATAAAACAGTTAATCAGGTTACTGAGTCAATAATGGAAGGTTGGTATAACCTAGAAGCTTGGGATACGAAGATCTTTATAGATTAAAACTAATGGAGCTAGATGCAGCACAGTATCAGACTTAATAGACTTGAGTGTCTAAGAAGGAACTTGAATGGTGTAAACGAGACTGCTTGTGCTTTAGCTGTAGCAAAGCAGGTCACTAGTTAAAGGACTGCAGTCAGAAACAGTAATAGTTTCAGAAGTAGTTGAGAGCTATGAACCAAGATCAAGGCAGAGAAGTCTATAATATTACTACTATTTAGCATGAAGTTTGGACGGAATCCATAACGTGGATAATAGATAATAAGAAGTTACATACTATTCAGCATGGTTAGCTGTTAGAGAACAGGATGTACCGTGATTAGTTAAGATAATAGACTACTATAGATAAGCCAATAGTATCACTAAGTTAATAAGAGGATTAATGATTATC